CCCAAAAAAAAAATCGCTATCATCCCAGTGGTAACATTGGTCCAAAAATAATAATAATGATGAAATGGTATAGGTTTAACGGCCCTATCAACACCTGGTCGAACGAAACCAATCAAAATTCAAATTTAAATGTACGATAATACGCTGACATACGGGCAGATGGCGGTGTGCGATTTCCGACCAGCTTCGACCTCGACAAGCAACCGGTCAGTTTTCCTTTCGAACTCTGCTGAGCATCGGTCCAATCGACTGGTGTCGTCGGAGCATGCCTGAGCACCTGTGGAACAAAAGACAAGCAATGCTGTGATGCTCTCATCTGTTCTTCGTCTCGACGACGTTTTCATAAGCCTTGGTTCTTTGAGACTGCAGCGGACACATGATAGGCTACGTCTGATCAGCAGCAGAGCAAGGGCAAATCCCGGCACATTTATAATGTAGATACTTAATAGGACGTCGAGTTGTGAACTCAGTACCGACAATATTAATGTTTATTCACAAACCCTTTATACCTATGTGCGCATTAATAATAAAACAACATTATTTTAACCTAGACTGTTTTGCACGATGGTGTTGTGCAACTATGTCGCTACATAACCCCCCCCCCCCTCCCAGCGTGGTGCAATTATGTAGCCTACATAGCGAATTACCAGGAACTGAATTAATATGACCATCGTTCTGGTGGTCGTGATATACGACCAGAGCGGGTAGAAATGTTCGGATTAATCGCTGGTAGAGATCATGGTACAGTCTTTGATTTTGAGAAGGTTGGTGGCTACACCTCAGCGGAGCAATCCAATCTCTACAATAACTATAATCCACACATCAGAATCACGACGTGACCTTAGAATTACAAAGTTAAATGCTCTCAGTACCTAGTTTTGAGAAAGTTGACGTCAAAAATGTTGAGTTTCACAACATGTCAAGCTTTTTCAAATGCAATTCTTTGAATAGGATCCAAATGCATGGCTGGTAGCCAGTTCCGTGGCAGGGAACCAATTGCGTGTCATGTTACCAATTTCGTGGCAAATTTCTATACACGAAGAGGCTGAATGGCATGCTCCGTGAGACACCCAAGGAGAAAATACTTCCTTGCCAATATCGTGCCCGAGATTGCCGAGGACAGCAATGCACGACCGCGCACAATAAATAATTAAGCACTGAAGTTAAAGTTCAGACACTGACTTTGGCTCAGAATGCTTTGTTCCCAAACGTATAGAGCAATTCTTTCATTACGAGATGGAGGATGTTCGGCACTTGCAAGACAAAAAGGTCATACTATAAATGCTGAACATTAGAGGTGTGACCAGGGAGTAACATACCAAAAAAAAAAGAAGAAGGAGAGATAAGAACAATAGATGTTGGATAGGAAAGAAGGACAAATCATACCAGAGCCCCCGCCAACCACATACAGAAGAATCAGAAAACTCCGATGGAGTTGTAGTTCAAGCCACTCTTGCAGAATCTCAGAAAAGTGTTGAAGAGCGTTCTCCATCCTGCAGGAACGGCGCCGAGAGAAATAAGAACATGGACGTGACTTAAACTTTAACTATACAAACAAAAGCATGATGAGATGCTTACATTTCATGCATAGATTTGATTTCTACTACCCAGTTCAAAGTGTGCAATCATACAAATGATGTTTTGTTGGGATACTTATGGTGGTATTTTGGTGTTGTCCAAAGAGGTATTGTTTGTTTTACTGGGGTGGAGTGGGAGGGTGGGGGGTGGCGGGGGGAAACAAAGTGAGTAATTGGGTTCTTAAGAAAAAGGGCAATTTCATACTTACAAAATGGATTGCTTTCATGTCATGTTGGCTACACTCTCCTTCTACCGATTCAAAGCCTAGGTCTTCATAGAGTATGGCAGGGGTTAAGACTGTGTTAATTATCTAATATATGAATTCGTTATTGTCTCAAAATGAGCGATTAATTTGTAGGCTGGGATTAAATCACTCATTATATGGATCCTGTGCGAACACACAAAGAGCGTAGTTTAATATCGGGCACAAATAATTGTATATATACTGACAACATTTTAAAATGCGACACTTAGATAAATAGCCGGTTAATCTTAAACGTTCACAATAATTTCTGAAATTGGCGTTGGTTGGCAATGGTGTTTGGCTACACAACACCCCCATGATCCACGAACCACTACTGCTGCTGTTGCACATGCTGTTTGACATCGGTTTCGCTCTTATTGGTGGGTAGTTACACCTGGTTGGCTACTTTATATTCCCTCATCTCACTAAAATCGACAGTGGTTCTTTTCCGTTCAGCCAGCCTTGAAGGTTGGCTAGAGTTGCAGCTGAAGCTTCTAGCAGCTTCTCAGTCGCATTCCTGATTCTAGAGGGCCGATGCGAGCGCGATGTTGTGGTCAGGGGTGCTAGATCTAGACATGCTGTTAGAGCGACGCTCAGCAAGAGATTATAATAAAATTCTGTTTTTTATTTTAACAAGTGATCATCAAGTCCATTTTATTCACTAAAAAAAATTACTCCCCCATGGTCACACCGTGTAAAAAGCCATATTTGCATTATTTGGAGATTATCTGGCTCATTTAACGGTGAACAATCACAACAATCCCTATGAGTACAATTTAGCGATAGGCAAATCACATGAACAAGAAATCAGCATCAAAAGACTTCGCAGAGTATCATTAATCCTTGATTGAAAAGTGCTGCTGCGCCCCGACTGGCCTTTGATTCCCCCAGGAATGCCGGCGCGCTCCTCAAGTTTGAGTTTGACACTCGTGACGTCACAGCTAAGACCTCTAGTTCCATTTATAATCTCCTTGGTGTTGTCGAATTGCAGGGGGCCCAAGGAGTTTACAGTAGTTCTAAGCTCCTTGAGTGAGCCTTTTCCTGCGAATTTTGGATTTTTTTCCCGTTCTAGTTCAAATAGTGTTCAATTATGTTTGGTTAGTAAACGTGTTTTTAACCAGGGAGCGATTTTGAATAAATAAAGTAAGTCATATAACATGATGATGATGATGATGATGATGATGATGATGATGATGATGATGATGATGATTAATACTAAATACAAAACTGGTCCCAGAAGAGACCTAATCCATTTGAGTTTCATTCTGTTTCCATACATTTATGTTCTCGGTAAACGTAATAGTATACTTACAGGTTAAACATTCGAGGCACAACTTATGGTCGAATTGTTATTATCTCCTCAACTATCGAACATAAACTTGTCAGCTTTTGCACAATGGCTTGCATCAATCTGTCTTAACATATCACTATTTTTGTTAACGCCTGTTAGCTCTATGCTAAAAAAATTCCTTATAATAAATACTACTTTTAAAAAATCCTAGTAGATGGTTTTTACCGATTTCAAAAGAGTTACAGCTGGGACAATATCGCTTTTAAAAGCAAGTCCGTCTTTTTTTTTCTAATCGCGATCATTATTTTTATTGAACGCATATAATGAGAACTTTTAGCGCAAAAAAAGTTTTCCCTATTCTCTAAAATCAATTTATTGTAACTAGTTTTTTCACTAAAAACTAAAAAAAGTGTCCTTGGTGAGCTGTGGCGTAAGCCATAATATGCGTGTATGCAAAATGTGTGTGAGAAACGGGAAGTGCTGTGAACAATTCCATTTTCCGCGTGAAGGAGATTAATTAGTGGCATTTTATATATACATTAGTAAGGAAAAGTTTTTAATAATCTAGCTTCAACTGTTGTGGGAAAATATGATTAAGTTAAGAAACGTTGATACAAATTGCTGTTCAAAGTATGGTGGATACTTTTTTGGCTGAGTGGCCCATCTTGTTATGTACTATCTTTGTTGGCATGACGAACGACGACATTACAAAGCAGCGCCGTTTCGCATCTTCGTGGGGAAAGCAGTGAAATATTTGGTGCGAAAATGAATGGTGCAAGCAATCTATGCAATTGGCTCTAGATCTAGTATATCTTGATAACGACTCAGAACCATTTAACGATTTTGATAGAGCAGATAGCACATTTTGGTTTCTGGCTTCTTGGTCTTAGTAACTGAAAGCGGCTAAAAAGTGTCCGATAGAACTTTGTAATTCTACGGTAGCGATTGTTTTTGTTTCTTTTCGACTACGGTTTCAAGTTTCATGAGCCTTATTAAAAAGATATCAAAATGCCGTCCACAGTATCAGTCTGATACATGTGCCCTTGTCAATCTTTGTTGTTTCTAAAGGGTAACAGCAGCCTGAGTCGATGCATTTTCAATCAATAAATGGTAACAATAATGTCTTCTTTCTTTTCAGCTTACCTTACAGAGTCACAGTGTTACTGTGAGCGCGAGGCCTTTCACTTCAGCACAAGATCTACATGCCTTAGAATTAAGTTTTACGGAAAGGAATTGAATGGCATGTTTAGGATAGTTTTCTTCAGCTTAACCCCAAACAGGTAACACCAATTGCAGATTCTGATTTCGAACTATAAGAACTCAGGCTTCCCTGAATATGAAACTGAAACTGTAATATATAGGGAACATATTAATTTATCTCAGTACAAAAAATGTATACCCAGGATAGAGAACCAAAATGTACAGAAAGTCTACTGGTTGACAGGCACCTGCAAACAAGGCAAAGCCGGCAAGGATTACAGCAAAAGTCTGCATGGTGACGACGTCAAATGAACGAGAAGCAGCAAGTCTGGCGTTGAATGGTGCTGGGCAAAGCTGGCACTGACAAACATTGGGATCCATGCTTGATATTTATACAGAAAACTCTTATAATTTTTCAGAAGTCCACAGTCGGATTAATGGCTATTTAACTTAATGGCCGAATTTTCATCAGAATGAAAATTGGACAATTTTGGTAAATGTTACTCATAGTTACAGCCTTGTCTGTACAAGAGAGAAAGGTACATTCGAATAAACTGATAGCTGTATTTGCTTGACCAGTGCTTGACCGTTGTGACCACTTATTCTCTCGGACGCATTGCGGGCAGTCTACTATTAAGGACAACCTTTTCCTGCACGCTGCCGCGAGTTAGAATGTCCCGTTATATAAACCAGAATTCTCTAATTGACAATAATGGCAACGGTGGTCAACGCAAACGGCTGGGGCATCCATGCCATTCCGGAGGTGGGAGTTGTCATGTGTAATGATGGTCGTTATTTGCGTTTAGTTGCAATGCCTATCTCGTTTGTCACTTGATAGTGCTCCCATTCCTGACTCTAGAAATGGAGAAAAATTATTCAAGTTCTGTGTTAGTGGGTTTACCGATATACCGGTACATGTAATTTGCATAGAATACGAAAATGTCACCTTATTTTTAAGTTAGCTTAAATTCTATTTTAGTAATAGTTCTTAAATTAAACACGTGTGATTCTTTGATTAACTGATAATGTGATATGTGCTTTATTACATAGAATTGTCGAACAAACGACAGGTTCAGTTGTTGCCACAGACGCCTTGTGGTACAAGAAAACCCTCTGGTTAACATTTGAGCTAACAAGAATTCAGTCATAAAGTCCTGTTTGGATTCCCAAGTCGTTGGTCAGCTTCAGATGTAGACCTACTTCGTCCAAATTTGTCATATTTTTTAAAGTTTAAATTTTTAAAAATTGAATTTCTTAATCGTGCGTTCCAATGGTCTGTGATAGAATTATTTTTATCGAAAATCAAATTTAAATGCTAATAGATCTAAAGCTAGAAAAGTCAACGTCCACTCCCACGGTTTGCCAAATTTGAATTGTTCAAATGTCGATAGCATTCTCTCTTGGACAACATACGTGAGCTTTATGACCACTACTTGAACACGCTATGGAATAGCGGGTCTACCTTCGCTTCGCTAAACATGTATTAGATTTCAAAGTTCTGACATTTGTGTCCGTTTTGAGTTACTAAGACCATGAGATCAAAAACTAAATGTTTTATTTGCTCTATAAAAATAGTTAGATAATTTGGAGTCTTTATTCAAAGAATTGCATTCGAAAAAACTTGACGGGCTGTGAAACTCACAATTGGTCGCTTTTAAGCACAAGGGAGCTATCCCAAAAAATTAAATGCTGTTTTCAGAAAATCGAAGGTAAAGTTTTTGCCCCTAGTTCAGATTCTTTAAAAGACAAGGAGAGTTTTCTCTATAACCAAACACATTTACTCACCAATGAAGCCAAGCATATCCTATAGGTAGGGCAAAGCCCACTTTTGGCGACGGTCAAAATTTCTGGAAACCTTGCAGGCAAAGATTTTTTTTAGTAAGGTTTTGCGGCGCTCGCAACTGCATAGGGCCTTATGAACGTCATGAGGTGGATGTCAACAGACAAGCCCAAACGGGGAATCAGGCTTTCTCAGCTCACCTCTCAAGCCTCAACAGCACAAAACCTGCTTTGACTATCAAAGCACCCTGGAAATAGCAGTTCACAAAAGAGTGACAAACATACAAAAGAAGTAGAGTGAAAATGGCGAAAGTAAGGATGAAGAAGAAAAAGCAGCAGTTCCCCCTATGTTGTTCCGCACAGACAGTATGAGCATGGCATTGATAAATCAGCCCATTTACAACTCTAATGTGCATAAGAGCATGTCAATATCCACCCTTCGGGAATGGCCTAAAGACAACTTCTGTCAGTAGCACTGCCATGGGTGTGGGTTGCAGGCAAACACCAGCCTGATGATGGCTAATGATTCACTGAATTACAGTAACATTCTCAAGACCGCTGAAGGAGATCCTGATGATGTGCTGAAGAGGATGAGGATGGTTTTGATTTATGATGGGCTAGTACGCGACCCAAGGGTACTGAGTCAGAGTAAACATAGATAAGAGAAAGAAACATCGCTTCTTCGTTAAAAACTATTCTAGAGCTCAGTCTTAGTTGAGTTTTAGTAAAGGTTTTTCGGCTCTTGCAACACAATTAGGTCTTATAAGTACCGAAGGTTAGAGGGTTTACGAGATAGTAAGATACACACACACACAAAAAAGGAGGAACGATAATGACGATAGGAAAGGAGCAAACCACACAAGAGCACTCGCCAACGGCCCACTCTGGTAAAGTTCAGTCTTATCTACCATGGTTTCATCAGAGGGCAGGCAAGATAATAAAATCACCTCTCTGGCTTTCGGTTTCTCAACCCTACGCCCACCCCATCCAGCCCAGTGTTCATCATTCTCTCTGTCTGTCTGTTTGTCTGTCTGTCTGTCTGTCTGTCTGTCTGTCTGTCTGTCTGCCTGCCTGCCTGTCTCTCTCTCGGTCTGTTTCTTTGTCTGCTAATAGTAA